CAATATGTGTTTGTTCAGAAACAAAAGCTAAGTCAAACGACTCCGATTGAAAATCCGTTCGTCATGCTTATTTTAATGTTTCTATTTCAGGAATTGGATGGCTCAAAGACCGTCTGTCATGCCACGTGCTCTGAATTTGTCACCAAATGCAACGGTTTGTACATCTCAATGTGGTAGCTGGAGCAGTATTCGTTTGTGCGCGATGCACTGGTTTGTACATCTCAACGTGGTAGCTGAGCGGCCGGAATGGATGCTCAAGTGGGGTGCTTGACACCAACTTTTCAGACCCAAACCCAACCAAATCAGACCCAAATGCAACCAAATCTTCTTGACTGTAGGTTCAGCGCTACTAGGGTCACAGGCACTAGGGGGAAGACCTGATGGGTTCTGGTACAACGACTCCAAGTGACCATTACCCCAGTGACCCTGACCTTGCGGCACCTGACCTTGCGTAGGGACCTGACCTTGCGTAGGAACCTGACCTTGCGTAGGAACCTGACCTTGCGGAACAAGACCTTGCGACACATGACCTTGCGGAACCTGACCTTGCGGCACATGACCTTGCGTAGGAACCTGACCTTGCGGCACATGACCTTGCGGAACAAGACCTTGCGTAGGAACCTGACCTTGCGGAACAAGACCTTGCGTAGGAACCTGACCTTGCGGCACATGACCTTGCGGAACAAGACCTTGCGGAGGAACCTGACCTTGCGGCACATGACCTTGCGGAACAAGACCTTGCGGGGTCCCTATGTAGAACCTCTCAGGGGCAACTCCAACCCGATCCAGGTTCGGCCGATTCCCAAATCCAGGGTCACTCAAAGCAACAGTTGGAGGTAGAGGCGGAGGAGGAGGTGGTGGAGTTGGTTGCAACTGAACTGGCAAGTCTACCAGCATAGGTTGCTGGCCCAATTCCAAGGCTCGAGTGGGACTACTTCCTTGGTTCGTATCCCCTAGTCTCATAGCCTGCGCGCCACCCGTCAACGTACTTATACCTCTACCAAACCAACTAAGCCCTGGAAAGCCTACTTGGTCAGAACGCTGGACTACGCTCCTACTCTGTACATCATCCTGTACACGCATTCTCAAACTATAGTTCTCAGAAACCAACGCTTCAACTTGAGCTCTCAAACGCCTGCCTTCCTCATCTCTCACCGCCATGTACTCAGACAGCTGTCTCCTCACTTCCGCCTGAATATCGCTCGAAGAAGCTGACGGTGGCCCTGCTGCGCCTCCAGGTTCACCCTGAGGGTAAAACAAGGGAGCGCTTTGCTCCAGCTGCCTCATCCTCTGCAGGGTTTCCTCAGGAAACAAAGGTGTGCCTGGCACGTGGCTCGCTGACGGAGGCCGGACCTCCGTACTGAAGGACGACCTCACAGAAGCATACTCCACAGCATCTTGTGGAGAAGAAGAAACCACAGTCGGCTGTGGCGCCAGTTGTGGAACCGATCTCTCCACAGCTTGCACCACCCTCTGGAGACCTCCCAAGAATCCTCCCTTAGGATACGCAGTGTCCGGACTTGAAGACGAAGGAGGCTGGGGGGCTCCAGGTGTCAATTGCTCATCACCCAAGAACCCACTCAACCTTTGCAGGTACCCGCTATCTCTGCCAGTACCATTCATCACCACCGGTCCCGTGGAGGCCGCTCCGGCATCTGGTGCCACCGGACTCGGATCCACAGTTTCGCCATCCATGTTAAAAGCCCCTCGAGCTTGTTCACGTTCAAGGGTTGCTTGTCGATCACCATTTCCACTCGCAGAGTTAAGCCCTTGAGCGTTTGGGCTACTCATAACCTGTTGATCAGCAGAGGGCTGATCCATCAAATTTGGATTATCACTTGACGCTGATGCCATGGTAACTTCTGAAGATCAGTTCAAGCCTCAACGCAGAACTCGGTCGCACCTTCCATGGGCTCACAAAGCGCCTAAACCTTTCGCAACGACCTGCCAAGCTGCTTCCTAGCTGTCCTCTAGACGAGCTAGACTGTGCGTGCTGCTGGCTTCTGCCGATCATGGCTTCAAGCCTTCGAGGGCTCAGCCCTCTCAGAGCCGTCATGGCTCCCGAATTCGCAAGCCTCAGTTGGAGAAGTGGAACTCTACCTAACCTAGGAGCTATGCTAGGGAAGGGAATTCGACATTCTCGTATAATGGGCCCCAAAGCCCTATTCTATTTATTAAGGCCCTTAATAGAGACCCCTTATAGTAGCCCTCGAAGTAACCCCTTTAAAGGAACCCTATTCTACTTCGCAAGGCCCCAAGATTAGGCTAGTGGCATGGTTGGCGAAGCTCCCAACCATGAGAGACGTGGCAACAACTGAGGTGGTGATCGGCCGTTCCTTTAAAGGGATCCTTAGGGGTTCCTTTAAGGGGTCTATAAGGGATCTATAGGGTTTATGGGGATTCTAATATCCCTTAATTAAGGAATATACCTTAAACCATATTAGGGATCCTACCATGATTTAAGGTATATTCCTTAATTAAGGGATTTTGGAAGGTCTGGGATAGTACATGGCTCTGATTGATAGATCAGTTATAAACCATATATGTAGTAATGTTCCAAAGTGTTCCGCATTCATAAAAAATATATCCTCCGAATTTACGCGCGACCCCAATTCTACCTACCAAGGCCTCTAAACCAACCGACGGTTCCTGGGGGCAGCGGCTTCTAGTGAAGATGCCCTGTCGTACACAGCCCACAACCCAGCTGTAGCGCCGTATGGGCTTCCTGAACCCTGACGTCCTGAACCCCTGCATTCCCTAACGTCCAAGCCTGAGGCCTTAAACCACCAAACACACATAAGCCCAAGATCTCCGAACCCTGAAGCCCGAAAACGTTGGGATTCTGGCACTCTCCCACCCTAACCCTACAATTATATTAGGGCTTGGCATGAAGGCTTTTCGAAACACTCGTCAGGCTTTCTAGGAGTTGTTCTGATGCCTGGGCTAAGTTTGATTTATAAAGCATTTGTTAAAGTTTGTAGGGGCTGTGCTGAGCTAAGCTTTTCTAAAGCCTTCATAAAGGTTTACGGGGTCGTTTTCTGTGGATTCTATTCGGCTCTCGGGCTAAGCGGTGTATACATTAGCCTTACAGTACAAATATCGGAACCCCATGAAAGACGAAGTTGCCAGATCATCATAATCTACTATACCCTAGGCCCTAAACGCACACCCATAGCCCTAAATCCAAAGCCATCCCATTAGTTTATATATTGTTGAGCCCTCATACCATGATCGGAAACACCTCCCTAAACCCTAAACCAACACTATTCTAATGATTGAGGCCCCTATGCCCCTATCGGATCGAACCCTCTACCCCCAGGACCGTCACTGCGACGCAGGGCTCGAGCAAACGTCGGGCCGATTAGTGAAGAAAGACCGCAGGCGCTATGTCGAGGCCTCTAGGGTTTAGGGTTTAGGGTTCCTTAATTAAGGAATATACCTTAAATCATAGTAGGATCCCTAATATGATTTAAGGTATAGTCCTTAATTAAGGGATTTTGGAAGGTCTGGGTTTAGCTCTAGCGGGTCCTTCAAGGGATCTATAGGCATCCTTTAAAGGGCTGGTCTAAGCGGTTCCGTGAACAGGTTTAATTCAGGTGCCTGATTTTTTTGAAAAGCGTTTGGGTGTAGAGTGTACTATAATAACAAACTACAGGTATATTAAGGAATCCTGAGGAATGACATGGAGCGCGTCTGTGTCGTGCCCGGGATTTCGGGATTTGGGTTTGGGGTTTAGGGCTTAGGGCTCAAGTTTGGATGTTGGGGCGTTGGCCCCAGGGCTGTAGGCTGAAGAGCCCGTTATACTATACATACAATATTAAGGAACCCCCCAACATTAGGATTGGAAACTATTAATCACTTGCAGGCTTGGCGTATTGAAAGCTCCACAAATCAACTAGCTCGCAGCGCAAGCATCACAGCGCCTTGAGACCAAGGGATTCAGTAATTTAAGTGCGAATTTCAACTGTCTTCTTCAACAACCGGGCCCCAAACAGTTCAACTTTATAAGACAGAGCTAATATACAAGGCCAAAAAGTTTAAAGTTCCCCCGTTCACTATCTAAGTCAATATCACAGGTCCGTTTACCTTCTCTCCAAAGCTGTCGTCAAACGAACGCAGCTACCCTTGCCCGGGGGTAGCCACTGGCTGCAGACCTTTCTTCCACGCAATTCATTCCCATGCAAGCTCACCGTCCGCCGAAGCACAAGTACACAATCCTGGCGGGATTGAACAGCCCCGGTGACAGAAGACCACGAAATGTCTGTATGCAGCCTACTTCCCTTGTGCTTCAAATTAGGGCAAGACTGAAGATGTGGACCAGGACATCGATAGTCGGTGATGCTGAAAATTCCTGATTCGGATATCTAACATGTTTCTTGCGATGTTATGCGTGGATCCTAAGCCCTGCCTTCAGCCGGAATAACCTACCCTTTCGAGGGTTCCTTATTATGATTTCCTTATATAGGTCCTTAAAAAGGTAGGTTATTTCGGCTTAAGGTAAGCCCTAAAACTGAAACCCTAAATCCCACCCAAGGCCTGGCAATTCCCCAACGGCCCCTTTAATTTGTCCCCCGTAGACCTCCGGAACACTCAACCCTAATATGGGGGCCTGATTTTTTACAAACGGGTTCCTTTAAATGGGTCTATAAGGGTTACTATAAGGGATCTATAAGGGTACTCAAATGTAGGTGGCCTGAATGATCAGAATAGGGTATTGGGGTCCATTTAAGGAACCCCCTAGGATACTATAGGTAACTGTTAAGGCCCCTATGTTGGACTCAGCAGCCTCCGCCACTCTAAGCCCTGAACCTTCATCCCCCCCACTCAAGCAAAAACCAAAAACACATCTACTTACTTACTTGTGTACATGGGTGATTGTCAACAGTATTGTCCGTTCTTGGGTCCTTTATATAATACGGCACCTAATATTTAGGGTACCCAAAAGGGGACCATAATTTGGACAACCACCCACATACTTACTTGGGCCTTGACAGTGTCTGTCAGGGCTCGGCCGCCACGCGATTCGTCCTCCCCGGCCCGTGTATCGAATTGCAAGGGTAACCTGCCATAACCTTAGAGTAACCTCATTATATAGCAACCTATAACAACCTTATAGTAACCTGGTTATGGTATCCTCATTCGAAGGGTGGTTGTTCAACGGGCTTAGAAGGATTTGTCTATTGTAGGGGGTTGCTAGACGGTGTTATCAGCATTTAGATGTTTCGTTCGTGTCTCTACAACGACGACTTACTACCCGAATAACCCACAGAAATCAAAGCTTAATCTTCCCGATTCCTACAAAACTTAAAGTTTAAAGGTTAGGTATTGGGATCTAAGGCGAAGTTTACCAGGACCGCCGCTGTCTTATGTGCGCTTCTCGATCGTGGTATCTACCTTAAGCCGGAATAACCTACCCTTTTAGGGTTCCTTATTATGATTTCATTATATAAGTCCACAAAAAAAGGTAGGTTATTCCGGCTTAAGGTACATCACCGACAGAAAAGCCCACATTTTTGATTCACAAGAGGCCCTTTATACACTCACCAAAAGCCTGGTAGAAGTCTCACTTCATTTTCCGAACTTCAAACCCACACCCTGACAACTACACCCGAAACCTTGTGCTTGAAACTCGAAACCCTGCAGCTGTGCAAACCCAAAAGCCTTAGCCCTAAATCTTAAACCTTTGTAAATCCCATATCCTAAACCGTACCATAAACCTTACACCTTATAAACCCCAAACCCTAAACCATGCTAAACCATGACGAACAACCGAAACCGTAAACCATAAACTTTGAAACCTTACAAACCCCAGAACCCAAACCCCAAACGTCCCTAAACCACACATCACGAACCCTAAACGGGACACTTCCGTCCTTGGCCGAGCGGTGAAGGGTGCAGGCGCATTTGCATCTACACAGGTGCCACACCAACAGCAGCTGCTCCTGTAGCCAATCGGTTCAGAACTTCGAAACCTAAGAGACTGTCGAGGATTTTAAGGTTTCGGGGTTCAGGCTTTATTTATTGCTATTATTACTATTACTATTATTACTATTACTCTTATTAGTTGTTTTGTTATTATTATTGTTATAGGTTCGAGGCTAGGGTTCAAGCAGGGAGTAAGGCCTTCAGATGAAGCATGGCTGCACGAACAGGAACCTAAGACTGCCTCATGACGTACGAGGCCGGTCAAGGCATAGCTGCTCACATTGCAGGTAGAGAGTACACAGGGAGACGGACACAAAGCCAGCGCAAGAGAGAGAGATAGAGGCAAAAATACAGAACAGGAGAAAGAACGGGACAATCAAAGAGACAGAGATAAACATTTAAAAAGCGAAAGACAGAGAGTGCTTAGCGTGGGTTGACAATGGTGAGACTGGAATAGGGGCTGGCGGGGGTTGGGGGTGGGCGTAATCCTTTAGAGTTCAGTTTAGATAGAAGTGCAAACTTGAGGGTCTATGTCTCGTTTACTCGCGGCCGCTTGTTTGTGGGTCGGTTTTCATTGCAGGAGTCATACTGGATTTCTGCTTTCTCCTATACCGGAGCGACGACAAGAAACCGCATGCGGATGTGCAGCCGCTGAGGACCATCCAACCCGCCGTCGTTGGTAATAGTCGCCCGTATCGATGAGCTCAAATTCCGAGTCCTGCAGGAGTCCTGCAAGCACGACACCCGGGAGGAGTTGTAGGACTTGCGGCTTTACGGAAACTCTATCTTGCAAACACTGTCAGGCTTTTTGTGCTGCGCAAGCATGCGCGGAAGACCGCACAGGTCTTTGAACCAGCCCTGCAGCAGGGCTTGTAATTATGTGGTCTTGATGCTGCATATCCCCGCAAGGATTTCAGCAAGCTAGCAAATTGTGAAACGTGCATCACAGCCTGCTTCTGATTCTTGTGACGGCATTGTTGACTTTCTCCACGGCTGTCACCGTGCCGCTACCTGCGGCAGCCCCAACTGTTGCCACCACCGCCTTACCCACAACACCAAGTCCGGCAGCACCTATGCTCTGGCAAATTGCTACTGCGCTCCCAGCGGCCACCCCACCAGATGCGGCTGCGCTTGACATCATCGCGGCAGCAGTGCTGCCTGCAGTGATTCCAGCTGCAGTGAACCCCAAGGATGTGACTACGACCGGTGCTACGACGACGGCCAACGCTGCACCACCTCCAGCCGCGGCTGTCTTCTTCAGGATGGACTTGACGCCCATGTGCTGCGATTGGATTTCTGTCTCGGGCTCTGGGCCGTTCCGGGAACCTTGGGCCAATATGCTTCAATACTGCCGCAGTGTGGACGCTGCAGGGTGTAGGACTGAGCAAATTGAGCTGTCTATGTCGCTTTGCTGCATTCAGGTTCGCGTAAGCAGATGGACTGGCACAGAGCGTGCATGGGAAAACCTGATTCCTTAAACACGAAGCCCTAAACCCGGTACACAGCACACTCCCCGGAAAGGCAGCCGGTCCTCACGACTTGGTGGTCGATGTAGTTGCCGAAGTCGCCGGGTCGCAACATTCACTACCGTTTGCCGGTGATAAAATCGAGGTTGTGCTCTCGGTTCTAAGGGTATGGACTACTAGAGCTGTATATGCAATCCCGGGGAATAGCCAGGTGCGAGTACGATGCTGCAGTATGATTATACTTATACCTGGCCGACAACATTATCAGCTGTTCTCACCCTCTCAGCTACGAAATACACACAGGAAGCATGCTGTTCGAGCACTACACAGAGCGAATGTGCCACAAGCGAACCACGGAAAGTACGCTGTGGTTCTATATGGCAGTTTCCGAAAAATGGGGAACCCTAACATATCCTAACATAGTACCCCAGATAGTAGCCCCAGAATAATGTACCCTAATTTTCGGAAACTCCCATATGGCCAATAGAACCAGCGGCTGTAAACCTCTCCTGCAGAAACCCTTAACTTAGGCCCGAGCCCCAAACAACTCTAACCCTTACAACCCTAATAAACCCTAAAGTGCCCTCTCCTCATATAAGGCTTACTGCATCTTATTATAAGTCCGTAATATTAACCGCATACGCCCGTGCCTCCGATAGTGTATACTTTACATCCGACCCCAATCGACACCTCGGACGGCTAAGTTCAAGGCTTCCTTCATGAGTTCCTTTTCGGGAGGTTCTACAAGGATTTAGGATTCCAGGATGCCCAGTAACCTAAGAATACAAAGGGCTGCCTTTTTGGTATTGGGTAACTTTATAAGGAACCAAGGACTACAAAAAAAAAAAGGGAATAAGGGTACTACTGGGCATCCTAGGATTTTTGGGGTTTGCGAGCACCCAAAATCCTAAACCCTAAACCCTAAACCCCTTAACCCTAAACCCTAAACCTTAATCCTAAAGCTCAATCCTGGGAAGACCAGGAGATCGATCTGTGGCCGCAGGCGGCCGCGGCAGCCGAGGCGAGGTGAAGGAGTCAACTCCTCCGGGTTCGCATGCGGGCCTTTATGAGGGCTTTGGGCTTTGGGTCCATATTTCATTCTAGAGAAGGCTTGAAGCTTCTGTAAAAGAACGGCTTAGTAGTATTTATACGGCTTTTGGAAATTTGAGTTCGGGGTTTGAGGATTTCATAAGGTTTCTGTAAGATCTACTATAGCTTTTAGTTGTTTTGTTTCTGTCTTCCTGAGCGTCTAGGAAAACCCTGACTTTGGTTCCTGGGCTTACAGTAGCGTTTAGAGACTAGAGTTTCTGGATGTCTGTAAGGTTTCGAAATTTCTGTCTAGGAGTCTACAAGGGCCTTCGCAAGCACTTCTGTAGGAGTCTTGGCGACATATCTGTAAGGCAACTAGAAGGTTTGGAGTTCTGTATAGAGTTCTACAGCTACCATTCCTTAACAATAATTAAGTGCACAATCACACACGCTGATGCACACGCCACAGACAATACGATCCGTATAATGAATGGCACTGTTTTAAACGTTCTGTCAAACAGCCGCATAAACCTCCACCCGACCTTGACAGTCATTGAATCCGGACAATCCTTTGCAATTTTCGGGCTTGAGACGCTGCAGCAGCGTGGGCTCTGTTTTGAAGTACAGGTTTGATTGCTTCCACAACCGTTATAAAGACATGACATCTTCGTAGAACCCAAAAAACCTCAAAGCCTACGGCTTCAAAGTAGACCCTATTTAGGTACTTTGGGCGCAAAGTACATACTGTCTGGATAGATGGACCTTATAAGCCCTAAACCCTGTAGAACCCCTGTAGAACCCTTATGGCACCCTAAACATTAAAGACCCCAAAAGTATGTAGAATAACGGCCTTTTATATGTTTTGGGCCATTATTTTGCCTACTTTGGGGGGTCTAGGTCTTGCCTTTGGTTAGTAGGGAATGCAGGAATGGGGCACAATTAGAATTACTATTGCTATTATTCTTCCATTCCTTACTAACCAAAAATAAGAGGTAGAACCCTCAGGGCGAGGACCGTGTCCTGGCAGGCAGAGCGCCGGAACGCTGCTGGGGCGCCTTCCGCGAGGTGTTCCGCGCGACATAAGAAGCCTCACAGATCGGGCTTGGCTGTTACCCCAAAGGGTATTAAGTGCGTATATGAACGGTGGGTTTAGCGTTTAAGGGGGTTTAGGGCGTCAAGGGGGTTTGGGGGGCTTAGGGTAAGGGTTACGAGTAAACGGGACCACCACAACAGTCTTTTCCATGAGAGCAAAAGACGGCCCAAAGCCCAAACCACCTAAAACAGCCCTAAGCCTGAACCATTTAACCCTACCTTAACCTACCAAAACCTACAAAATGTAGGGTCCCTACAAATTCCATATTCGGGTTTATAATAAGAACCTACAAAAAAGTAGGGTTTGGTAGGTTAAGGTAGACCCTGAACACCCTTAGGCACTCAAGCAGCAGGTAGATAGTCAAACTGAATCCTGACTCCTAAACCCCCCCCTCCAAAACCCAAAACACAGTCTCTAGTGCCAAGAACCATTCCTTGTCGCCGGGAGGCTTGGCTTCTTCCAGTGGTCCGGACCGGCTCCTTCTCAGCCTGGAGCTTGGCGGCCTTGCATTGGCTCTTTGCCTCTTCCCAAAGGGTCCTAAGTACCTATATATTATAGTCGACTACAGTATAATCTAATATGGTATGGTATATAAATGTAATATAGGCTTTGCAATCGCTGTCTGTCTGCTTTGTCGATAAGGGCGCTTGCTGCCGATAGTTCAGGGTTCGTGAAAGGAATGGCTTGGGGTTGCGAGGGTTGAAAGCTTCGCTGTGGTATGGATGAACATGGATGAACTGTCTATGTGGTCCAAGTTGCATATCTGTAGCTTACAATACATAAAGAAACAGCACATTGAAGATTTCCACGTAGCCCAAAAAAGTATAGGCAATTATTGAGGCGGCATAATCGTTTCGAAGCTTGGGGTCGGTGTGGGGTTCCGAGATGTGAGGACAGCTATGGATAGCCCGGGCCCACAAACTCTGCGGTTGCTCAGAACCACGCAACACCTAGGACCTACCTAAGCCTCGAGGTTTTGAGTTTCTCATGTTAAATCCACGGTAGTCATCCTCTAGATTAAGCTCAAGCTCCCAACCCCAACGCAATCCCAACTTCGGCAAAGCGTTGTGATTACAGACATTGAAGCCCTTACCGCGCGTACCCCAGAATCCTTTGAACCCTGTCAGCCCCGCACCTCCTAAAGCAACTACCAAACCCCAAAACCCCCGAGATCCGGCACCCCAGCCCAAATTCCTACTTCATACTTTTCTCTAGGTTCTTGTAAAAAACACCCAAACAAAAACCAAACCTGAGCCCAAAACCCTCACATAATTAAATAATAGAGGAGCCTTGGTACTTGGAATAGGGCTTTGGGGCCCATTATACTATAATGATAACAACGAACCCCCAAAACAGTATAGGTAATTATTAATCAAGGCCCCTAGATTACGTCGACACCTTGCCGAGTTCGGGGTGGTCGGCGGCGGCTCCGCGGTGACCATCTGCTGCAAGTCCAGCTGTGGCAAGCTTGGTGGCCGCCTCGCAGCGTGCTTTTGAGGTGTATAGCCTTTAGGTTTGCTCGTTTCCTGGAGTTTTAGGATTTGCTTGCACTCCACTGAGAGTTTAGGATATGAGAGGCTGGTTGCAGGGGTTAGGGTTTGACGTGTCGGGTGTCGGTTTCAGGGCTTACAGTGAGGTGTAAGGCTGCAGAGTTACATGGTATAGGGTTTAGGGATCAGGCTTTTTGGGTTTGAGGGTTGCCTAGAATTTGAAGCGTAGGGGATGAGGAATGAGATGATGATTATGATGGTAATGAAAAATAGATGAAGATGACGACGATTAGGATGGTGATGATGACGAGCCAGGATGAAGGTGATGATGACGATCATGATGAGGGTGATGATGACGAACATCATGATGATGATGATGATGAAGACGATCATGGCGGTAATCATGATGACGAGGATACTGGTGTTGGTGATGATATGACGATGCTTCTCGATAGACACTTGCACTGAAAGCCCAGACACTGGACTAGACCGCGTAAACCCTGGAACCCTCGACCCTCCACGCCTCGCAGAGCCCTCACGTGCACAGTGCATGACAGATCATGCCCGATGTCGGCAAATTAATCTGCCATGTTCGTGGAAAAACCTGCGTACATCTAAAGCCTGAAATCTAACACAGAGAAGCCATCATCGCTTCATCCTAAATTCAAAACCCGAGATTGTTCTAAATTCTAAACCCCTATCCCCCCCCCCCATATATTGATGATTACAAGGCCAAAGGGGGGAGAGGTACTTGCAAATCCAACCCCTATAAAAACCCTTCTCGATTCTCCCAGACGACAAAACTCAACACGAAGAACTTACGGAATGTAAAATCGTAAGAAACCTCCTGCCTCAGCTCACGCTGTGCAGGCCGAAACGAAGCCTTTCCGTCGGGATCCGGGACGGCGCCGGGAAAGGGTGGCCGCGGCGACGGCGCTTCCTGCACAGGTTCCGGGATATTAGGGTTTTAAAGGTGTAGAGCGCATATCGAATTTACGGCTTCATACAGCTATAGTATGAACTCTTCTGGATTTTCTTCGAAATGATGAGCTCTGCACGGCCGTAAGATAGTTGGTCGTGCCACCGAGCTACATGCCCGAGACGTGCAGTCCAACCCTGTATGCAAACCTCATGCAACCCTATAGCCTATACCCCTAAGGGTTCATGTGCTCACACAGTACATAGTTTTAAGGACTGCTTTGAGGCGAATCTAGATACTGTGTCACTCTATGTATATTATATTATATATATATAGGGCACCTTAGAGTAGCATGGTGCTAATTCCTTATCATAGCTACCAGGAGAATGTACTCCAAAACCCTATTCTGACTATGTATAGGCCCCTGTCTTGTAGAACCCATATAGCAGCCCTTGTAGAACTCTTTGAATAAGCCCCTTGAAGGAACCCTATTCTCATTATGTAGGCCCCTATATCTTATGGAACCCTTTAAAAACCCCTATTCTAATCCTAAAGGGTCCTACATCCTATATAGTAGAATGTAGGGAGTTTTCTATAAGGATTTGAAACTATTATGATTTGGGGAGGTACTCCCCATATCAGTACCTAGGACCCTTTGGCCCCAAATCCTAAACCACCCTAAACCCTAAACCCCAAAACCTAAACCCCCCCAGAAAAAACAAACCCTAAACCCCAAAACCACCCTAAACCCTAAACCCCAGAACCACCCGGAACCCTAAATCCAAAACTACCCCAAACCCCAAACCCTGCCCTTGTCGAGGCGCCTGAGGCCGGGCTCTCGGTGAGGCCGATGCCACGGGCCGACGTGGGAGACGAGGTGGGAGGCTGATGGGAGACGCCCGGATGCCTTAGCCGCTTCCGGTTTAGGGTTTAGGGTATGGGGTTTAGGGTTCTGAAGATTTAAGGCGTGGGGTGTGCAGGATTCAGGGGGTTTCAGGGGGAGAGGTTTTGCTGTCCAACCATGTGCCAATATGGGGTTTGTGTGGACGTGTCAGCTAGCCTGAAGCTTCGACGGAGTCTCTCATGATGAACGCAAAGCAACTAGGTTCCTGAGTGATCCCTGAATTATAAGTATAAGGGTACCCTTTTTCCTAATAGCCGTTTCTAATAAGGGAACCACAATTAAACAAAAAGCAAAGGGCACTACTCAGGAACCTAAGCAAATATGACTTCTGAAAGGAGCATCGAAGTTGCCACGCTCAGTGACGGAGCCCGCAGGCGATGAAGATGTCGACGTAGAGTCTCCATCCACTTCAGGGCTGCAGAGATTTCGTGAGGATCGAGTCGCCTCCTTCCCTTCCTGGACTTTGAAGTAACCAGGGAGAAAAAAGTATAGACGTGTATTTCATAATCCCGAAGGGTCCATGTACTCATATAGTATATACATTGGCCTTAAAGTGCTCCCTATGTAGGTACATTGGGCCTAAAGTATATACTATTTGGGTACATGGACCCTTAGGGAATGGTTCCCTTTAGGGAACAGGTCCCCACAAAAGTATTCAAGTATGGTGCTCCAAAAAAGCCCAGTGTCGCCTCCTGCGGAGAGGTTCCCCGGGCCTGAAGAGGCAGAGGCTCCTGACGGATTCGCGGCTTCCGGGTCCGCAGAGACCTGCAAGCTCAGAGGTATCTCTGCCTTGCCGGCGGCACCTCTCAGGTTCACATCCTGGGCTCTTGCTAAGGAACTTGATTAATTTAAGTTACCATAATACGGAAACCATACTATTTGTTATAGATCAATGGTAACATAAAACAAAGTCTTAACATGAACCCGGCATCTTCAAGCTTCGGAGGATGTGGACGGACGCCTGGCACGCAGGAAGCTCTGCTCGGGAAGGTGACTGTAGCCTTGAACCGACGACCCTAGATGCACTCCCCATGGCACGCTCAACCTACATAGAGTTCATATTTTGGGGGTGGAGGGTCTAAGATGACCCTCCGAAAAATGCCGCAAAGCCTCAAAACCTCAAAGTCTCAAAATCAAAACCCCAAAGTCTCAAAATCAAAACCCGAAAGTCTCAACATCTACCCCCGAACCCTGACACCCCAAAAAGATCCTTCTCCCGGCCTTCTTGTTCGCATGTCACGGTAGGCACGGGTGGGGGTCTGGAGGAGGACCCCGAGCTCCTCATACCGCGTTCTATAGAAGGGTTCCTACAAGGTTTTATGGCTTCAGGTTTAGACGGTTTAGTGCTCCGTTGTTTTAGGGTTTTCGAGCTGAGGTTTGATGGAAGAATGGGGAACCTTCTCTGTAAACCTTCGTCTTGGGAGTTTTGGTGAGCATCTCAGATGTAAGCTATCCGGAGGAGGTTCGGGACTTTAGGTATTGTCGGCCATCAGGGAATTGTGTTCAAACTTTCTGGTTTTCCCGTTGTGGCAGCTTCAAGGCTTGAAGGAATCTACCTTACTGAGAGGGTCTATATCCCCAGAGGTCCCCGTAATTCTGGCTCCTGTAAGGAAGACAAGGAAGGGAGCGAGCGGTTTTGTCAGAGATCGGGGCCGCATGGAGCTCAAACGCTCCATATTGGGGCATGGCTAATCATGGTCATCATGGGACTGAACACGTTCTGAACACGCATGCTGGTATCATAAGCACCAACACTTAAGTTCTTAACCCCAAAATTCCGAAACCCACGCGTATTTCAACAACCTAACCTGAAAATGCAAACTGGGCCTGGGGTGTCTGTACTACATACCAAAGTCTTATAATTATGATCTCCTAAGAAGCATACCCAGAGACTCCATATACTGCGGGGCCTCAGGTCCCGAAAGAACATCCTCATGATTACTTTATTCGGGACCTATAATCCCACGCTGGAAATAAGTATGTGCATATTTGTATATACTCTAATCTAGTATAGTATACTAGAATACAATATAATGTGTGTGTGTATATATATATATATATATATATATATATATATATATATTTATGTATACGTATATATGGGTGGCTGTCAAAATTATGAGCCCCTTTTTGGGCCCCAAACGGGATCCGAATTTTGACAACCACCCATATGTATGAAGCCTCTGGGATACTAACTGTATTCAGGCCCCTATATTCCGGTGGCCGGGTTTGCGTGTGCGGGCTGCTCGAGGTTCCCACCAGGGAATGAACCCTTGCAGTATCCCTCAAGAGAACTTTGAGTATTTAGGTGCCTTGAAAGATTCAGTGTTATGGGCAGGGTCTAAGGTTTTGTCTGGGTCTTTTGCATGTAGAGGGCTTGGGGTGACTACAGTATCACATGTAGCTTCCGTCATTCCCTGACATGAATCAGTGAGACTGCAGTACATAAAGAGATGAAACACGAATGAGCCTGTGAGAGGGTTTTTGCGACTTAGTTCAGGGACTTGGTGCCTAGATGCCCTTGAGGATTTAGGGAGCTTTGGGTGCGATGTCGCGCAATGACTGTCTCAGTGTCCATGGTAACTCCATGTCCTACCACATGCTACAACTCCCAAACGCAGGTGTACAGGATCAGCGGGAATCTTATGATACGAACCAGTACTAAAGTTACCGGAACAACGTGTGAACACCCTACATTTCTCAAACTTAACCACCACCCAACACACACAAAACACGCGCAGAGAGACAGAGAGAGAGAGAGAGAGAGAGAGATATATATATATATATGTATATATATATATATATACATATATATATATATATACAAACCCAGACCACAAACCCTAAAACCCCACTCCGCAATATCCTCGAGGAGGACGGAGTCGACGGCACGGAAAGGTCCCCGACAGCTCGAAGCGCAGGGCTACTCTGCACCTGCCATGAAGGTGCACCTAGAGACCTAGGGTTCCTTTATGGGTTCCTTTAAAGGGATCTATAGGGTTCAGGTTTTAGGGGACTCCAATATCCCCTTAATTCAGGAATATACCTTAAATCATAGTAGGATCCCTATATGCTTTAAGGTATATTCCTTTCTTAAGGGCTGTTGGGGTCTCTGTGCAGTTTTGGGTTCGGGTGTTGGGTTGCAATTGTCACAACTCGGGCTGCCTCGCTGTAAAGCCTTTGTAGAAGATAGCCCTCTCGGCAATATCAGAAGAAACCTCTGGAGAATCTACTTGCCCTGAGACCTATTATAAGCCTTGCACCCCAGACGATCGATTAGGCCCACAAATTCACAAATCCTGATCAAATACCGAAATGATGCCATGCGCAAAATGAACAGCCGATGCCAGCAAGAGCTAGCATATCCTAGGTCCGAAAGACCCCAAACGATCGCTAACCTAACTCACCCTGAGCCGTAAACTCACCCTAAGCCTTCAGTAGTGTTGTTCCCAGATTCATGGCCTTCGGATAATCGCACTGTGGATGCCGATCGTTCAGAGAGGCCGTCGTAAGCATCGCCGCCTTTCGCGAGAATTTCTTCTAGGTCTAGGAGTCTAGGGGCTTTGGGTTTATGGTTTTTACAGGGGTAGATACTTCTTGGGGTCCGTTTGTGAGTTTATACGGATCGAAACAAGTTCTATAAGGGCACTGTAGAGCCTTACAAGTATGGGCTTCTTGACTTTATGAGGCGCTCCTTAGTAAGGGTCCTGCGCTCCGAAATTCCGACTGTAGAACACTAAAACATGCTGAACCCTAAAACTAAACCATACTAAACTCAAACCTAAACCATAAACCCCTCAGCCGTAAACCCTTAAACCCTAAACCCGCCATAAAGGCGTTTAGGTCTCCGAGGCTTCGGGTGTAGCCCGATGGGTTAGGCTGTGGGAAACCGTGCTACATCGCTTCCTTGCTATCTTGCAGCTTGAAATTAATTATGGGCTCCGTTTAGAAGATCTACTTACATTAAGGCCAGGGTTCTAACACTAACGTCTCCGACCTTCAAAACCCCAAAGGGTCCAAGTATCATTATGGTACAAGTCTATACTTATAGTGTATTTTTTGGGGGGTTAAGTATGTACCATGATGATACTTGGACCCTGATACCTAAACCCTAAACCCTAAACCCTAAACCGTACCAAAATGATACTTGGACCCTGTGGGAACCATTGTATTTCATTGTAAACAAGAGGCTGACGGTTCTGAAGTTTGGGGGTTCACGGGCCCCCAGCTGTATACCGATAGTCTCCATTGTAACGGTTTAGGGTTTAGGGTTTAGGGTCTAGGGTTTAGGGTTTAGGGTTTAGGGGTAGTTCCTTTTTTGGTGAACCAGTTTTATGGTTAGGACCCTATAATATAGTTTTTTGGTTAACAAAAAAAGGAACTACAATGGAGACTATAGGGTGTTGGATTCAGGGCTGAGGGTGAACAACTCAGCTCTCGTATGGAAACGGAATTCCCATCGTCCCTGGGACTTAACTCCGTCTGCCTTAAACCCTGAACCCTAAACCTTGAACCCCACACCTTAAACCCTAAACGTTTTCCTGCTTCCCGGGAAAAGCATCCCTTCCGCAAAACCTGAGGGTTTACGGTGTACGGCTTTCGGGGTTCAGGAGTTTAGGTGTTTAAAGGGTTTTAGCGTTTCAGTGGCTTACGGTTTAAGGGTTTAGGGGTTCAGGGGTTTAATTAAAGGGTTTGTAAGGGCTTAGGAATTCAGGAAGGATGTTGTAATGGGGGTTACAGGTGCTTGTTGTCTTAGTATCAAAATACGTCCCGTGAGCCTTCAAGCGTGGCTAAGAACCCCAGAAGCCTACACCCCACCCCGCCCATCAAAAAATGACACATGAAGCCTTGCAGCCAGCAAGGCTCTGAGCCCGTCCAAGACGATACCTAGACTGAAATCCATTCGCTCCTGAGCCATAAAACCCGCTCACCTGTGAAGCAGAAGCACCCCTCGAAGGAACCTGTGATTATGAAGCCCTTACACGCCTACGAAAAAACCGTAAACTTACCATCTAATCGGACCCCTAACTTGCATCCTAAACCATCTAAACACTTAAAGCGCCTACACTTCTGAGGTAAAGGTGCCCCTGTGTGCTTAAATCTCATCTGACGGCACCCCTCATTTATTCACAGAAACTAAACCCCTCAAACCCCCAACCCCCAAACCACTATCAACCCTAAACCCCTGAACCCTAAAACCCCTAAAACTCCGAAAGCCCCCCAAAACCGACCCCCTCACTTCTTCGCAGACATTCGCCCGGCTTTTTTCCGGGGCCTCTTCCGGGAGCTGTCCCGGCAGACTCAAACGGCGAGGAGATGCAGGAGCCTAGTTCTGAGAGTGTTGGTTTCCCAGACCCCCGGCAAACAAAAAAAACACAAAGTAGAAGGTACCCTTAGTAGTATACGGCCCCAACTTAAGGGATCTACTTTCTAGGTACTCCCGGGGGTCTGGGTTTGAGGCTTAAGATTCAAGGTTTAGGGGTTTAGGGCTTTGGGTTTAGGGCTCACGGTTTAGGGCTTGGGGTTTAGGGTCTAGGGCTTTGGGTTTAGGGCTTAGGTGGGGTTTGGGGATTGAGGTACTTTTTGAGCTCCTACTGTGCTACATTTTAGGAGCTTGACTTAAGGATTGGGGTTTTGAGTTTGTTGGCTTTAGGGTTTTGGGGTTCAGGGTCTGATTTTGGGGTTTATGGTTTGGAGGTTTGGGGGCTCGGTTTAGGGCTTAAGATTTTGGGTTTAGCCAAGGACAAACGATTTGGAGTGAAAAGGGGGTTGGGGCTTAGGCTCTATGAACGGTGCTACCGAAGGTTCTTCAAGACGTTATGGCTATAGCGGCTTCCGGACGGCTTTCTTTGGGGGAAGGGGCTCAGAATTTAGACTGTATGACATGGGGTCTCGGGGTGATGTTAGGAAATGGTAACAGACAGGATATTAACCAGGCTTCGCCTGGAGCTGTGCAGGCTTGGATGTAGGGTTATTTAGGGGCCTTAATGATTTGAATAGGGTTCCTTTGAAAAAGTCTATAAGGGCTTCTATAAGCGCCGGATTTAGTATAGGGGCCTTAATAACTAGAATAGGCTTTGGGGCCCATTATACTATAACTACAATAAGGAACTCCTGTCAGAATAGAGTTGGTAACTAAGTAGGCTCCTACATATTCGGGTAGTTTACTTGGGGCGTATTCACCGCTGCTCCTTGGCATCTTCAGTATCCCTGAAGCAACAACCCGTACACTCCTGATACTTCCATGCGGACACCTACTGCACGGACTTGAATTTGAAATCCCTGTCGCCCCACGACTACAAAACCTGAATCTACAAGGAACTTCGAGAGCCTAAGCCCCGGACGTCAAGTCCTGTACGGTTTAGGTAGGGTTTAGGATTTAAACACACAATACCCCCGAACACTCAAGCAGTGGGGCCCTTTGGCAAATGTTCGGGCCCCAATCCTTCAACGACACGTCGGTAGAAACTAGAAACTGCACCCGTGGCAATACCCCGAAATGACAATTAAGGGTGTGGCATTAAGAGCATAGAGCTCATTTAAGACTTTTAAGAGCTCAAGGATTGGTGGTATAGGCCTTATAGGAAGCCTGCACTGAAACACGGAGGGGCTTGAAGGCGCGCACAACCCTAAACCCTAAAGCCCCAAAGGGCAATCTGACAAACGCGCAAACCCCCGCAGCCTCTGTCTGCATCTCACCGCCTTGAACACCCGGAGATTGCCCATGGGCTTCCGGAGAGGCCTTGTGCCAGGACCCTCCTTGTACCCTCAAATAGGGGTATATGGTCCCAAATCATGGGTACTTAGGGCCTATAGAGGGTAGATGGAGGGTCTAGGTGCTTGGGCTCAGTGTGTCGCTTCCGATTTATCATATAGAGGCCTTAATGATTAGAATAGGGCTTCTGGGGTTCCGTTATACTAGACTTATAATAAGAAACCCCCCAAAATAGTATAGGAAACAATAAAGGCCCCTATATTAATCGGTCATTATGAGCTCGGAGGCTATCGAGTTCTTGTTCTCCGGTCCTATTTAGAGGTTAAGGGCTTAGGGTTTAGTGTCATTTGGGGCCTAGACCCTGAAACCCTAAACCAGGAAGCAACACAAGGTCCAGAGAACGAAGTTTGAGATGTCAGTTTAATGACAGAACATGACACACAAGGGCGTGATACTGTCAGTATGAACTACACCTAAGCCTCCATGTACCCAACTAGTGTATACTTTGGGTCCCAAGTACCTACATAGGGACTACGTTATGCCTTCCAGTTCCAGAGCTCCCCAGACCTTCCAAAATACCTTAATTAAGGGTCATACCTTAAATCATAGTAGGATCCATAATATGATTTAAGGTATGACCCTTAATTCAGGGATTTTGGAAGGTCTGGGTCCCTCATTCAACCTATAAACCCGGGCAAAAGTCTGGCAACCAGCATCAACTCTTGGCAGTAATCGCAGTGGGGGGCAGGTGCCTCTAAGCCAAGGTTAGAATATCTCGTGTGAATTATCCCATTTTAGTTTAGTAATTATTATGAGTTTACCAGGTAGACATAAGATGCTACAAAGATGTAACATGATTTAAACAAGGATTCTATGAAATAGACTGGACTATGAAAAATGAAACGGAAAACAAGTTAAACTAGCTTGTTAAAGTTTGATAAACTCACCTTGCGGTATGAGAGAGTATGTCACGGTTTGTCGTGAAACGAACAACAATAAAAACAAAAAACAAACTAAACCGTAATAAACCCTGCCTTCGACTTGCCAAACCATGGGCACTGCTTCAGCATCCGGAGGCATGCCGAGAGACGCCTGGCAGCTGGCGAGGATTAGGGATTACGACCTTGGGGTGCAGGTTTCGGTGAGGATTCCTTAATTTTGAATTGGTTCTATCCAGGTTTAGGGCTAAGGGCGCACTGACACCCAGAATATGGGGTTTAGGGTTTAGGGGCCCGAGCGCTTAGATTTCAAGTTTCATTGGCATGCTTCTTGAAATGCTCTTGTCTTGGGGCTCTTATACCATGCACGAGCATCCTGCCATCTTTGATAAATTTATTTTCGGCCCGATGTACTTTCTGAAACTGCTGAAAATGAAGGGGCTGGAGTTTTGGCTGAAAGGGGGATGCGAGTGCGGGTGCTCATCTGTTTCTGCATGATGTACCTCTGCCGTTTTCGGGCATTTTAGGGTTTAGGGTTTAGGTTTTGTGAAGATTCTGCGCACACGAATAGCTCGACACCGTAAACCTCGTAATTAAACTTTTAAACAGAACCCCCCAAGTAAATGCATCTGAAAGCATCATAAGCCCTCGAGACAAACTGCGGCACCTGCCTCGGCACATGGCACGCAGGAGCTTTCTCAGCCGGTGCCTGCAGACTGCTTGGAGGGTCGGGGGACTTGATAACGGGTTATTTTAGGGACTTATTTGTACCATAATCCCAATTAGGGTCCGTTGTAGGGTACTTATAAGTCTACTTACTACCTACTTACTAAGTCCCCCGACCCTCCAAGTGCTCGGGCAGAGACAGGGAGACCTAACCTCGAAGGACCACACATGAAATATGCTCTAGAAGGGGCCCCCACCCTGTAATAGTGGTATAATAGGAATATAATAGGGCCCTAATATAATCCTTATAGCCGCTATTACAGGGTGGGGGCAGCTTCTAAAAACATACTATGTACCATTAGTTGCCAAGGGCGACCCCCAATTATGGTGTTGGGACCTAGTTCCAGAATGGCAATATGCTTTTATGGACCCTTTGGGTAGAGCAGTGTAGGGAGCGTATGCTTTGTGAGGCTTGGCTTAGGGCGTGGGGTTACAGGCTTTCGGCCTCTGCTACAAGTAAGCTATAACTTCTCGGCAGCTGTTGAGGGATCCTTTATTGCGCATACATCCTCGAACCTAAATCTGAACCCGCAGCACTTCACCCAAACACTTGTCCACAAATCCTTGACACCCAATATCATCAATATCTGTATCCTGAAATCCATTCAATTGCCGGCAGTCACTGCCGTTCGAGGGTTAAGAATATGGCAGTTTCCAGAAATAGAGGACTCTAACATAGCACCCTAAATGGTGGGATCCTTATTACCAGGACACCAAAACAAGGTACCCCTAACTTTCGGAAACTCCCATATTCACAACTACTGCCGCTATTGAATACTAGGATGCCCAGTGACCTAGGAATGAAAAGGGCTCCCCTTTTGGTATTGGGTAACTTTAGAAGGAACCTAGGACTACAAAAAGGGAATAAGGGTACTACTGGGCATCCTAGGAATACGGTCTCCAGCACCAATGTGTGCACGGACAAGTCGAAGATGATCCAGCGGGGACTAAACTTTAAACCCTCAACCCGATATCCCAAACCCTGCATCCTAAACCCCTAAACCCCATACCCTAAACATCCTAGATCCTGAATTCTACAGCAAGCCTAGCTCAACTGACCCTAGACCCTAAACCCTAAACAAAATATGAACCCCTTGAGCCGACCTCTCCCTGAGGCAGGCAGCGTGCAGATCGACGAAGGCGCATGGCGTTTTCTTTGCTCCAAGGCTGGCAGAGTTAAGGATTGCCCAAGCCTCTTTAAAGCCCTACCTTTTCGGGGTTCCTTATAATGGCCTGTCTTGAACTCGTAGTTTTTTTATGTTTTTTTTGGGCTCAGGGATTGGGGCTTCAGACTATCAAGGTTCTATGAAGATTCTACAAGTGCTCTTTTAGGGCATTAGCATGGTTCTACCAGGATTTTGGGCCTTGGGATCTTGGCTTTGGGGTTCCAGTGAAGGATTCGGGGTTTGGGGGATTTGGTGGGGGCTCTAGAGTTAAAAGGGGCTCAGGATGTCTGGACGCCTACCCATAGCCTCCATAGTAGTTCCTTTTGGGACTACCCTATTCGATTCAAAACATGAACCCCCAAAAGGAACTACTATGGCCCCTTAGGGTAGACCCTAAACCCTAAACCCTAATAGACCCTGCTTCAAAAGAAGCCAGAAATGCCAACCTAGAGCCAGCTGGCAAAGGAAGCGGTTTCGTTCGGTGGGCTTCGGAATCCTCATGGTCTAGTCATGTATGTGTATATATATATATATATATGTATATGTATATGTATATGTATATGTATATGTATATGTGTATGGATACGGATACGGATACGGATACGTATACGTATATGTATATGTATCTACAGTCTATGTATATGTATATGTATATGTATACATATACATATACATATACACATACACATACATATACATATACATATACATATAGATATGCATATACATATACATAAACATATACGTATACGTATACATATACATATCGTGTAAACACATACATGTAGGTGTTTCTTCTGTTTTTTATGTAGAGAAAGAGAGAGGGAGAGACAGAGAGATGTGTATGGCATGTGTGTATATGTTTTCGTTTCGGGGGTCCTTAGGATTCTGGGGCTTACGGTTTGGGGTCGAGCGTCCTGTGGACTTTGGGGGTCAGAGTTTCGAGGGCCCTTGGCTCCCGGAGCTTCCCTGAAGCATCCTGTAAAGCCACAACCCTAAGGGTCCATGTACCCAAATAGTATATACTTTAGGCCCAATGTACCTACATAGGGAGCACTTTAAGGCCAATGTATATACTATATGAGTACATGGACCCTTCGGGCAATAGACTATCCGTCCCTACATCTACTAAAAAGCCCGCTAGAGCATACCATAACGCCTTGGTAAACACCCAAGCCCATCTTTAGGCACTTGCCCTGTATATTGCGGAATACTGACTGTAGGCCATGCTGTAGGGTTGAGGGTTTAAGGTTTAAGGTTCTGAGGTGGGAAAATACACACTGCAAGATCGAAGAGAGAGTGTGATTGCAAGGACTAACATTATTAAATTAGGGGCCTTAATGATTAGAATAGGGTTTTGGGGCCCATTATACTACAAACATAATACGGAACCCCGAAAATAGTATTGGTAATTATTAAGGCCCTTAAAGTAGGTTGAAGGATTTCCACGCTTTCCGAGTCTGGTGGACAAAGGCTTCCACACGGCAGAAATGATTGAAATCTCACCTGGGGATTCACCCTAAACTGAAGGGGTCATGACCTACCATTTGGCAGGGTTTGGGGGTACAGGAATCCCCTGTCCCGCAGTCAATGGTGACACAGGCTGAAGTGTCGGTGCTGTTTCCGTTAGTGGATTACCTGAAAAAATCCTGAACCCGAACCCCCCTAAACCCTGCAGCTCTCGCCATGAGCGCAGGTATATTTCGGAAAATACCAGGCTCCTTCCGTGTGCTCTTTTTAGCGGCAAGGTAAGTAACTCAGCAAAATTTGCGAACCACCATCCTTCCCCACCCGAAGGCCCCAGACCTTCCAAAATCCCTTAATTAAGGAATATACCTTGAATCATAGTAGGATCCATAATATTATTTAAGGTATAATCCTTAATTAAAGGATTTTGGAAGGTCTGGGGCCCTAAAGCCTAAAGGCTGAACTCCGAAACCAACAAATCTGCATTGCAGCGGTTCCCATCAAGAATGCGCCACTCCACACGGTCTAGAATGGGCTTCCACGGGAGACCATGCGAGCCCTTATCTTATCATGACTAAACGTATGTGGGCTCTCGTATTGTGGTGGAAGTGGTTTGCATGTCTAAGTTTCGCTGTATTGGGCCATCTGGCGTCAAGGTATTGAATGCCAAGGTCGAAGCAAATGTAAAGCCTGAGCCCATCAGACAACGTTGGGGTTTAGAGCTCAGTGCTTATAAAAATGAGGTTCGGGGTTGGGGTGAAGGAATTCAACACGTACGGGGCTCAGGATGTGTAGAGTTCGGGGCTTACACTGCGGAGATGCGTGGAGCGTAGCTTTCCTATAGCTAAGTACTATAGCTAAGTAAGGAAAATGAAGAATACTCAAACATACCCGATGCAAAACCCTGAACCCTATAAACCCTAACCCCCTGGCCCCTAAACCCTAAACCAAACAACCAAACCTAAACTCTTATCTTGACTCCGCCTCCAGCACTGGGGCGCCATCGTTGACTGTAGCGATCTGCACGGAGCTGCTTGTCGTACGGGGTTATAGAGGTGGTTATCAAAATCCGGGTCCCTCTTTGGGTCCCCTAATATAGCACGGCACCTAATATTTAGGGTACCCAAAAAGGGGCCACAATTTTGACAACTACCCATATGGGGTTTAAGGGCTTAGGGGCTAGTGTTTAGGTCTTAAAAATTTAGGACTCAGGGATGTTAGGGCTAAGGTTTGAGGCTTCGGGGATTTTAGGGGCGGCTGCAAACAAGGTATAAGGAGCATGCGGGGCAGGGCCAGTTAGAAAAGGGAGCTTCTCCGGATCCATGGCTGGCCACCCTAAACACTAAACCCTGAACCCTAAACCCTGAACCCCAATTAAACCCTGAACCCTGAACCCAAAACCCTAAACCCTAAAGTCCTCAACTTGTAGGGTTTAGGGTTTTGGTAGCTTGTCTTTCTTTCTGCAGATGACATACAACCGTACCCTTGCCGCCGGCACACCAAAGAGGCCAAAGGACAGCTTGCAACTTTTAGAAGCTCTCGCAGCAATTTGCGCAACGTAGAAAGCCACCTCCTTCTCAGAACCACTGCCGAAATTATCAGCGCCACATAGCTTGCCCCCGCTCGAAAACGCCTGTGGGACGCATCTCACCGTCCATGGCCATGAATAGAACGTGAGGCCTTCCAAAACCAATCTAGAGATCAGACTTTGTCCAACAGTGTCCCCTCTTATTGTCCCTGCAAACTCATGCGAGGATGTATCGACAAAAACATTCTAGTCATGAAGGCCGCTATACCAAATCAACAGGCGCTGGCGTCTAAAACTAAATCGTAAGAAAAGGCCGCACAATCTCGTGGCGACAGGGTACCCATCTCATGGTGTTTGGGTGATCTTCAAAGGGTTTTTAAGTCTTCCAAGCCGAGGGTTCTACAATGGAAAGATTTTACAATATGGATGAAGAATATCATAAACTGATAAACTCGATTCTGGTCTTTTACGGTCTACAGTAACCGATTGATATTCTGCTCTGTCACTTCAATCTGTTTTGTTAGTGTGTTACGGTATGTTATGATTTTGCTATGTCACGCTATGTTGTGTCATGATACTAGGTTCGTGGGTAACGCTTCAAGTCAAGCGTGGGGATGACCCCTTTCCTGTTGTTCCGCTCTCATAGGAAACCGCAATTCCCCCAAAAGGAGTACCGAACTTAGAACCCTAGCAAAAATAACAATTTCGGCTGTTTCTTGGGGATTATAATAACTAAAAATCAAAAACTATTTCTAAGTACCCATAAGAAAAGGAGTACGGGACAATCTTCCTGCTGAGACACTTACTGCGACAGCAATACCAGTCTGAACTCCAAAACCCAATGCCACAAACCCGAACACAGTGAAGTATGTAGGATAAGCACGCTAAACCCGAGGACCCTGACACCTAAACCGCTAAACCCAAAGCCCTGTCCCAATTATAAGGTACTTTGGTTATGGATAGTAGTTATTTAGGTTAATATTTGGGAGAGTATATGATTATGAGGTACTTGGACCCTTAGGGAAAGAGAGCCTCCAGACCCAGAAGGACCATGAGGTCGGCGAGTAGCTGCACATGGCGGCCGTGAGGGGCCACCTGCTGCAGGAGCTTGGGCTTGCAGACATTGGGAGTTTCCGAAAACAGGGGTACCTTGAAAGGGATCCTTTAAGGGTTCCTTAAAGGGATCTATAAGGGTTCTATACAGGGTTTAGGGTTTAGAGTTTCCGAAAACAGGGGAGCCTAATATAGCACCCTGCAAGTAGTAGGATCCCTGTTGTAAGGACACCAAAATCATGTGGCCCCTAATTTTCGGAAATTCACATTTATGGGGTTTCGCATCTCGGTTTGGGGGGTTTGGCTTTAGGGTCTATCATCGGGTTGGGGTTTGTGAGGGCTTGGGCGATTGAGGGTCTAGCGGAGTAGCAGGGGCACGTTGATCGCTTATGGTTAGATGCAAGGCGTAGGGTTCGGATTAATTAGGGAGCTTGAAGACCGTAAGAGTCCATGTGCCCAAATAGTATATACTTAGGCCCCAAAGTACCTACATAGGTACGACTTTAAGGCCAAAGTATCTACTCTTTGGGTACACGGACCCTTCGGGAGAGGAAAGAACCAACCACTGAATCCAAACCCTGCCCTTTGTCCCTAAACCCCTAAACCCTACACCCTAAATCCCTAAACCCCTAAACCCTAAACCCTAAACCCCTAAAACCCCTAAACCCCTAAAACCCCTAAACCCCTAAACTCTAAACCGCAGCGCCTCCAACTCAAATGCAGGATCAGTGGGCTTCAGAAACCTCGGACATCGCTTCCCTAAGGGCCCATGTACTCATATAGTATATACATTGGCCTTAACGTGCGCCTTATGTAGGTACATTGGGCACAAAGTATATACTATTTGGACACATGGACCCTTAGGGTCAGTAGAAGATGTAGGGACCCCTGTCAGGCTTTCCTATCTACTATAAAGCTGCACCTTTGGGTCG